GGGGGGGGGGGGGGGGGGGTTATGAAAATGGTTCGTGATCCCAATATATTCGGATTCGTTTCAGTTTCTGAAACTCTCTTCCACTAAATTGGGGGCCAGCAAAAAGCTGGCATGATAATTATTTGGAATTTAATCCATTGGATTCATTGATTAGATATCTTGTGAGAGAAGAAAGAATATCAGAATGCCGAATTTTGTCAATTCCCATCCAGTTTTCAGGTTTTCCTCTTTTAAAGGTTTGGAACCCGCCAACAAAAAATTCAAGAGTGTTGGTTTCAAATCTGGATAAAATAAAAAAGTTACATAACTTAATGATCCATGAAAATATTAGATAAGTGTAGATGATTCTTATTATTGACCCCGACTAACTTAATATTGAATGGTGATTAATTAGTTGATATATAATAAGCAAGGGGGAAATGCGATTGAATTAGCCAATAACTATGTGTATCGTGATTCAAACTATAAGTTCATTGTGTGATATTTCTCGAACAATGAAAATTGTTATCATTTCTTTATTTTTCTTATCAAAAAAAATGTTTTATGAAGTGGCTCGAGTTCAACAAAAAATACATTCATTTTATGTAGCTATGTGAAAAGACCTTTTGGTCTAACACTCGTAAATTTTCCATGTTCATTGTTTATATTAATCCCTGCGACAATAACATGGATATTATGTCATGCGATCTCCAATTGGATATGGTCAACTCGTCAAGGTAGAATATGACGAATTATATAACGAAATCTCTTGAAAACTCCTTTTTTTTTTTTTTGGAAATAGTATAACAACAATGAAAATCTTAACTACATATATACTACTGAAGGTTGCAGTGGGTGGGTGATAGGTACGTATATATTTTTTAATCAGAGATTTCGAATTTGAACCTTAAAATTAGAGTCATCTTTGATAGGGAGAACATTACATCAAATTGAAATTTTCGATGCGAATATGAATTATCCGGACCCTAAAACAAATACGGAACGCGATGAAAAAACAATAAAGAAGAAAATCACAAGATATGTCCACTAAGACAAGTATCATGGATCAAAGTATCAACTTGCCCATCTTCTCTTCTGTCTTTTCGGCTCTAGTAATAAGTCTATCTATTTTTCTCTTTTTCTATACGGCATATAGAGAAGAGAAGTACAAAACAAAAAGTAAGAACAAAGGACAAGAAGATAATTTAATAATAAGAAATTAAATCAGAGCCTCTACCTGCTGCGTTACTGCGTAGGCTGTGAGGAAGTCGGTGTCTCTACACCTTTTACTATAATGGTGGTTTAGTAATGATTTTATTTTCGAAGATAAATTTGTCATGTTGTCATCAATACTTATGAGTGTTTTAAAAGGCTTTTTTGAGATCCGTCCCGGGACGGGCACTATCAAAACGCCTTGAAATTCATGTGTGGGGTTTAGTTCTGTGAGGCTTACGCCCCCAAGTGTCCGACTGTACGCCCTAAACACACCTAACGCTCAACGCTCGGGACTCGCCCTATAGTTCCTATGCAAATCATGTGTTGAATTCATTAATTTGCACCGTTGACTCTTAAATTCTTTAACAAATGAATGATTAAAGTTCTTTTTATCTATAGGAATATAAAAATTGTAAATAACTCAAATAACAAACCATAGTGTATTGCATATTTACTAATTGAAAATATCGTGAGGGT